CCATTCTCGCTTCCAAAGAGCACTCTGGCTACACTTCTTCCAAAACAGATTTGTTCGTTCTTGTGGCGGTCCATGGTATTTTCAGTATCCTCTGCCAACAGTTACAACTCAAAGGTATCAACGCTTCGTCTTCAGTCTTCCTTATTCATTGTCCAGCTTCCACATGCTTATGAGGTGATTGAAAATACCGTGGTTTGGGTCCAAAACACAAAGCCACTGCCACCAAGTTGATTCTGACTCATGGCAACCCCCATAGTGTTTCCAAGGTTGTAAATCTTTAGGGAAGTAGATTGCCTCATCTACGGAGCGGCTGGTGGGTTTGCACCACCAACTGTCTGGTTAGCAGCCAAGTGCCTTGCCCACTGCACCACCAGAGCTCTTTTAGTCTGGGTTAGGCGCACCTTAGTCTCCAAAGTAACACTTTCTCTTTGACCCTACTCTGTGCTTGCATAGCTTCTTCTCAGTCTGGTCCTGCTCAGACTCTCTGTAGCAACATTCTCTGTTGCCAACTGCAGATTTTTTTTTATGGGAAGTGAAGACCTGAGAGCCAAGGACCAGAAAGAAACAAGGCAGCACCTCTCAAACCTTTTGGTCTCAGAACCACTTTCCAAAAAAAAAAACCACACTTACTCATAGCAACTCAACCCTCCTTGAGTTTTTGAGGTGGTGTCTCTACAGAAGTAGATTGTCCAGTTTTCCTTCCAAGGAGTGGCTGGTGGGTTTGAACCACCAGCCTTCTGGTTAACAGTCATATGCCTTGGGCACTAGGCCACCAGAGCCACTTTACATTCTTAAAAATAATTGAGGACCCCACAGAGCTTTTGGTATGTGAATTAAGTCTATTGATATTTACCAAATAAGAAATTAAAACAGACATTTCAAACTACTTATCAATTCATATAAAAATAACAGTAATAAACTCACAACAGGTTAACATAAATAACATTTTTGTTCATGTAGATAGGTAATTCTTTCCAAAATAATAAAATTTTGTGAGAAACGTGTGACTTTGTGTTGTATCTCACAGATAGATCTGTTTAAGTCTGGCTTAGTAGAAAACAGCTACATTCCTTTCTGCTTCGGTTAGTTACTGTTTGTTTTGCTTACGGCATCTGCGGAAAGTCCAGCATCATATACACATGGTTAGAAAAGCCCGTCAGATAAGTGGGGGTGCTTCATGTGGTCTCTGGGGAACTCCAGCACACACCCACGCATTTAGAAGGCTAGTAGCGTCTTACTGTAAATATGAAAATAGTTTTGACCTTCTGGACCCGGTGATGAAAGAGGTGTCAGGACCTACCAATTTCCTTGGACTACACTTTGACAACCACTGAACTATTGTTGTTAGGTGCTGAGTCAATTCTGACTCATAGCCACCTGTGTACAACAGAACAACACACTACCTGGTCCTATGCCATCCTCACAACCTCACAATCCACTCTATTTGTTTTAGTAGAAAGAGTGTTCTGTTTGTTAGTCTTTTGATTATTTCTAATTTTTCTACTATTATACATAAAGCTGCAGTTATGTGCAATTATATGTGGCATATAGCTGTATGAGTTTCCCCCAAGTATTTCAAAAGGTTATATAAGTAAAAGTGAATTGGTGAGTCCAAGAATGTATGTTTTGAATCTTCATAAGCATATGTCATACGTTCTAATTTTAAGCTATATACTAAAAGGTGCATACGTGTGGTTAGGTCATCGAGGAGACTCCTGGGTAGCACAGACTGTTTGCACTCAACTGCTGACCTAAAGGCTGGCAGGTCAAATCCAGAAGAAAGGCCTGGCCACCTGCTTCCACACAGATTATAGCCTAGAAACCCCTGTGGAGCTTTCCTCCATGGGGAGTAGAGCTCATGGGGTCACCATGAGTTAGAAGGGACTTGATGGCACCGAGGTTAGTTTTCACTTCAAGGTCATCAAAGTAAAGAGAAGGGCACTGCAGGTGGGGTCACTCAAGTGCCATCAGCAGTGTTTGTAAGTCTTCACCTGTGTCTGTGTGGTGGGAGGTTGAAGGGCCCTTCCTACACAGAGTAATCTGCCAGTGAACCTTCAAATACATGACCTCAAAAGGCTTATAAGCCAAAGTGTCAGTCAGTCCTGGGAGGCTGCGCCAGGACCTGGTAAGCCACTCCTGCTGTCATGTCCAACCCTGAAGATAACTAATCCAAAACTCACGCAGATATATTAGTTAGGCTTTGTCTCAGTATTTCATGGAACAAATAATTAACATCTCATTTGTTAATTGTCGAAAAGGTAACATTTTTGGATTCTAAAATCCTTCGTTTCAGCAGTTACATTTCAGATTGCTTTGTGTGTTCAGATACAGTTGAATAAGAAATCTATTTACGTAAAAGGAAGCTGTTTGGAAAAAAAATGTGCGTTCTGTCATAGTTGAGTAGAAACAGTAGACCTTGTATTTCAGGTTTCTGAGAAATAGACCATCGCTGTTTGAGCGGAGAGGATCTAACTTTCTATCTGATGGCGTTCTTTTTAAATGAGCCAGTGTTACACTGTGGCTGAGCAGTTAACAGTGTGAAGTTTTCCGCTTTTTCTGTTTCCAATCAGCAGCACAGGTAAATCACTGTAGTGACTTGCTGGACCACCACCATTATTGTGCAAGGAGCCCTGGTGGCCCAGTGCTTGAGTTCTTGGCTGCTAACCAGAAGGTTGTTGGTTTGAACCCACCAGCCTCTCTGCAGGAGATAGATGAGGGAGTCTGCTTCTATAAACACTTAGAGCCTTAGAAACCCTGTGGGGCAGTTCTACTCTGTCCTGAGGTTCACGATGAGTCAGAACCAACTTGATGGCAATAGGTTTGGTTGGGTTTTGGTTACTATTATTGTAAAATGCAAGCAACATTAATTCCAGTGTTTTTCTGGTAGTTTGACAGAACACACACAGATTGTAGAAAACAATTGGTCAGAGTTTTACGGTTCACAAAGGCAGCTAGGCCACTTAGTGACAAAATCCTACTTAACGACCCTGCAGATTTTTAATTTTGTTTCTCCATAGTTCAGAAACAGTACTAAATTTCCCTGTTTCTCTTTTTTTTTGAACAGGTAACCTACAGAGGGTACCGTCTTTGGTGAGTGAATCACTGGATGTAAAGTCACTGTACTGGTTTTGGGTTTGTTGTCCTTGTTTGGGTTTGTTTTGTTTTTTGAGAGCAACGGGGCAGAGACATCTGGGTGGATGGATATCTGGGTTTCTTAGGAGACAGGCGGCATTCCTCTCGTTCTAGGTAAGCATATTGACCACAGCTTTTACTTACCCTTTTCCATGTTCACCTTTATCTACTGAGGTCATGAAACTTGGATGTTCCCCTCAGAAGAAGAGTGGCTATGAATTCTGCAACGTGGTATTTCTGGGGGCTCTGTGAGCCAGTGTCCACCAACGTTATTCTTCACATCTCCCAGGAAACAGAACTAGGGATGTGGAAGCAGGCTCATTTGCATCAGAAATTAGTAGAAAATTAGGAATGCTAATAAAATTCTTCAAACAACTATAAACTTTATTTTTTAATATTATAATGGCAATAAAAATTGGATTTTGATGCCTTAAATCATCCTTGTCCTGTGGACAAAATAGATTTTAGTTTGCAAATTAGAATTGGTGACATGTTTCTACAATGCTTTTCTGAAGATACTAAACCATAATTGCTATAGACACATTTTTTTTCCCTAGATAGAGCCCTCACAAACCTTTTAGTGCTTGAAGGGATTTGGGGTTCTGAGGAAAACCTCAATGCATTTGGAGGACAGAAAGCGTTTGTAAAATACTTGAAAATCAGCCACCTTCTTCCCAGTGTCCCCCGAGAAACGGGGAGAGCTTTGTTTACTGTCAGAGTACTTCCCTTACACCATCATAACCCCCTCTTCTTTAGCTCAAGGAGAATCGTGCATCCAGTCTACTGAGTAAGAAGGAAGAGAAAGCCCCACCTGGTTAAACTCAGGTTTGCCTTCCAAAACTTAAGAGTTCTAAATGCGGCCATGAGCCACATCCCTCCCCTGAATCCGCCAGCAGCTGCCTTTATCTTTAAGTGCTAGCTGAGAGGTGGGCGGTTCAAACCCAGCCAGAGGGGCCTCAGAAGAAGCCTATCGATCTCCCTCTGAAGGCACCCAGCCTTGAAAACCCTGTGGAGCAGTCCTGCTCTGCACACACGGTTGCCGGTTGCCGGGAGTGAGTTGACTCAGCAACAGCTAACAAGATAGTCTGAGACTTCTCCTTAGTGACAAATAAAGTAGAATTGACAAGATTTGCAACAAACAGGAAATGTTGTGGCAGAATCCTTCAGAGTTCTAAAACAATCTCATGAGGGATTTTTGGAAGAGAAGGGGATTCCTAGCATTCAGAAAATTTGTGTCCCTCCTGTTTCCTACTCTGTTGCCACAGCTGTTTTAAAGATGAGGAGAGTGCAAACAGCCAGGTGATAATTTGGTAACCTCAGCTGCTCTACCTTGCTTCCTCTTGGCATTTATGCAAACAGGCAGATAATGTAACTTCCCTTCCTTTTTCTTTGACTTTTTCTTTTTTTTTTTCCCTTGCCTTCAAGCTTTTGGTGATACTGTTCATAAATAACATTTCCTATTGTGTATTTAGGTCAAAAATTCAGACTCAGGAACAAAGGAAGAACTCCATAGCAAATCTTGGGACAAGGAAGGTAAGTTCATGAATTTCAGAGTAGCAATTGCAATACTAATTATAATTACCGTTTGTTAAATTCCTTCTGTGTCCCACTCTACACCATTTGCTTTGCAGATTTTCTCTTGTTTAATTCACATGATCCTGTAAGGTGAATGTTAACAGCATCACACCTGTAGTTGAGGAAACTAAGGCTTAGAGAGGTCAAGGTGCTTGTTCAAGTGTATAAGCGGTGTCTTCACTTAAAATAAGGGTCCCTGTGTGGTGCAGCCAGTTAATGCATTCAGCTGCTAACCAAAAGGTTAGGGATTGGAGGTCACCCAGAGGCGCCTTAGAAGAAACACCTGAAAATACTTTCAAAAAGTCGGCCATTGAAAGTCCTGCGGAGCTCAGTTCTCTGACACACATGGGGTCACCGTGAGCGAATCAGTTGATAGCAGCTGGGTTTGTCATTTGTTTGTTGGCCTTGAAATAGCTCAGTCTGGCGCTCAGGAGCAGTCTCGGAGTTCTGCACTAAGTTTTCAGCTCTCAGGTGTGTGAGCTTCTGACAGACAGCGGTAGCAGTCTGGGGTGGTACATTTGTGCGGATCTTCTCTCAGGAGTCAGGCTTCATTCCCCATGTTGTCATTGTTATGTGCCGTCGAGTCAGACCCAACTCATAGCGACCCCTCCTTGGGTTTCCAAGGCGGTATCCCTACCGAAGTAGATTGCCCCATCTTCCTTCCAAGGAGTGGCTGGTGGGTTTGAACCGCCAGCCTTCTGGTTAGCAGTCAAGTGCCTTAGGCACTATTCTACCAGAACTCCTATATAGCCTCCACCATTCCTGTGATGCCACGTTTCAATCAAAAGTAAAGCAGAGATAATTATTAACATCCGTGTATCTATCATGGCATCAGAATTAGAGGGAGAATCATTAACAGCCTGCGATAACGCTGATGACACATCTTTTCTTGCTGAAAGTGAGGATGACTTGAGGCACTTACTGATGAAGATTGAAGAATACAGTCTGCAGTGTGGATTACACCTCAACATAAAGAAAACAAAAATCCTCACAACTGGGCCAATAAGCAACATCACGATAAATGGAGAAAAGATTAAAGTTGTCAAAAACTTCACATTGCTTAGTTCTACAATCAGTGCCAGTGGAAGCAGCAGTCAGGACATCAGACGACATACAGCACTGGGCAAAAAGTCTGCAGAGGAACTCTTTCAAGTGCCGAAGAGCAAAGATGTCTCATTGAGGACTAAGGTGCGCCTGACACAAGCCGTGGTCTTTTCAATTGCCTCATATGCATGTGAGAGCTGGACAGTGAATAAAGAAGACCTAAGAAGAGTTGATGCTTTTGAGTTGTGGTGCTGGCAAAGAATGCTGAAAGTACCATGGACTGCTAGAAGAACTAACAGATCTGTCCTGGAGGAAGTACAGCCAGAATGCTCCTTGGAAGTGAGAATGGCCAGACTTCGTCTCACCTACTTTGGTTGTGTTCTCAGAAGGGACTATTCCCTGGAGAAGGATGTCATGCTTGGTAAGGTGGAGGGTCAACGAAAGAGGGGAAGGCCCTGAACGACATGAGTGGACGTGGTGGCAGCAGCAGTGGGCTCAAGTATAGCAGGGATCCTGGAGCTGGCACAGTATAGGCAGTATTCATTCTGTGCATAACACTGAGTCGGAGACGAGTCGATGGCATCTAACAACAACACATATCCATGACCCAGTTTTGTCATATATTAAATTTTAGCATATTTGCTAATTGTTTTGAAGTGTTACAGCTGCAGTTGAATCCCCCTTGTACCCTCACCTGTCCCACTTTCTATCCCTTCCTTCCCACTCCAGAGAAAACCACTAATCTGCATTTGTGCTGTTTCCATAGACAATCATGGAGCATATGTTACATACTTTAGGTGAAAGGTATCACATGTAAACCTTTGTTCCTCACTCTTTCACCCCACATTAGGTTCTGAGATGTATTCATGTTGATTTGTATAACTTGAATTACTTTCTTTCTATTCCTATTCAGTATTCCACCAGTTATTTTTTGATTCTTTTGTTGGTGAGCGTTTAGGTTTTTTGCAACTTTTCTCCATTACAGCCAGTGCTGTCGGGGGGGTAGGTCTTGTACCGATTTCGCAGTGCATGTTCCCAGGGCCAGTATCTCCAGGTGTGAGTTGCTGGATTGACAGACACCTCTTCATCTTTACTGAATGTGCCAGCTGCCCACTAGCAGTTCCAGTTCTCATTCTGCACCTTCCTCCCTGCTTGGTGTTGTCAAATTGATGAATGGTTGCTAATCTTATGGCTCTGAAATGGTTTCTCGTTTTCTCCTTGGCCCTTCTTACTGCTGTGTGCCAGCGGGATAATGGCTTTCAAGTCTGCTATATAAATTCAGCATTGTGACCTCAGACATGTCACTTGTCTCTTTGAGCCCTGTTTACTCATATCAAAACATTAAAATGGTGAAAGTTACCTGAATCTGTTATTTGGGAGGATTCTGTCAAGAAGGATTTTAACTTTAACTGCAATGCCTCGTACATAACTAGTAGTCAGTGAAATTTTCAATCCAGTTTCCTTCCTTCCTCCTTCTCCCCTATCCACAAAGAAAAATTCAAATGAGTAAATATTTACATTTCTCCACTTGTTTGCCTTTATTACCCAGAGATTTCCAATGGGAAAAATACCAGCACAGAAACCGCAAGAGGCTGCCGGGTCGAAGCAAACCCTAAAGAGGTGTGTTTTCAGAGTCAACTCAAGGACTTTGTGTTGTGCAGAGTCTTTTCACCTTTGTGTGAAGAAGGGCTTTGATTCTGTTTATGATCTTTAGGGAACACGTAATGAAGTATCTACTAAGGATTCTCTCTATCACTGTATGTATGACATTTTTTGTATGTGTCCAGGTTGTATAATCAGAATTATTTCAGATGTCCCCTTTTGTCTACTGGAAGACACGCCGTTATTTATTGGGCTGTTGAGGAGAAAAACACTACCAATGAATAAACCATGCCATCAGTTGTGAGACGTATCTCGACCTCAGAGCTATTAATATGAAAAATACTTCTTTTTTAAACATAGGGTTTAGAATAATTGATAATACAGTATGTCACCAGAAACAGATTTGGATATTTCATATGGCTTTATATTCAAATCAAATCAAATTTTTATTTTTATTCAAAAAATTTAGAATGAATCTAATTCAAATCTAGATGCCAAAAGCATTAGTCTCAATTTTTTAAAAAAGTTATGTATAAATGCATTCCAAAGACTAGATGCTGCTAATTCCCCATTTTAGTAGGTTTGATTCTATTAATATGATCATTCTTAATTCTAGGTTGAAATTTCAGTCCAAGAGGAAGAAAGACATATGGCTAAAAGAAAAAGAAAGAAGCACTGTCCCTCATCAGATGATGAACTGGGTATTTGTAATATGCATGTTCTTCTTCTCAGTATCTTTGAAAACTGTATTAAGTTCACATACGGGATAGTGGGCCAAAAACGTAGAGAACTCTTTTTTTTTTTTTTTAACCTGGGTTCAAATTATAGCTCTGGTTCCCTTTTTTCAAAAATGGGGGTAGGACTTCATCCTAACATAGAGCATTCTTGAGGGTGGTAACTGTTCATTTCCCAACTCTTAAAACTACTTTGTTTCCAGACTGGCTTGACACCTCTAGAGTCCTTTCTGGACCTTGGTCTAAAAACTACATTGTTCCCTACAGAAGACCTAACCCCTTGAAACTTACACAAACTCAGGCTTCCTCTGTAATGTGGTCCTGGGACCCAGTCAGGTGCCACCAAGGTCCGTGTTTTGTATCTTAACCTAGACGTCCTGCAGAGTTAGTGGAACACTGCTGTAACTTAAATAGCCACATGAAATAAATAAAGAGCCAGATGTGACCAGGGGTGACCACCCTGAACAGTACAAAAACTCTTACCCTTTTTTCAGACATGACACAAAGTAGAAATTCAGTAAATACTTAATGAATGAATGAGTAAAAAAGAATGGATAATAAAATGTTCTCTTTTTTAGTTAGCAATATGTAATTTTATAATTTGTGGAATTCATACTATATCCAGGACTGTCTATGGTACTTCATGTACAGTCTTATTTAATCTTCCCGATAACCCTGTGAGTTAGGCATTATCATCACTTTTAAGTAAAGAAGGTTCTGAGAGACTGTGATTTTCCCTCCAGGTGAATCTGATTCCAGAACCCCACTGTCTCGAGTGCTGCCTCCTAGGTGGTAACTCACTCATGAGGTTGGAGTGAAGTATCTCTGGGAACTCTTATGTCCTCATGCTTTCTTCATAAACCCTGCGACTTGGTTGCTGCCATTTAAGCACTTGGGGACTTTTTTCTTCGGTCCTGCCAAGGCCGAAAACCAGTGCTCAGTGCGCTCATCACGTGAGCTTATAAATACATTTAAAATAACTTCTGGCTTCGCTGAATTGCAAGCTTAGAAAAGAAGCCTGAGGCTGTTTTGCAATAGAACTGTGTTTCATTTTTCATTGCTTATATTCCTTCGTCTTTCTGTCTGATTTGCAGATGATAATCCAGATGCCCTGATTTCCAGAGTGGGAACCTCACGGAGGCCACGCTCACAAACCGAGCTGCATGGGGCCAAGGTATGTTTTCCACAAACTGATTTTAAGTTTGGGAGTAACCTCATTACTTCACTCTGTTTCTCCTTGTAGTCTCTCTAACTTTCTGTATCTCTGGAGGTAACCTCTTTATTACAAAAGGTGTGTATTTTCTTAGGCTCCCCAAGACATACAGATGTTGCACTTGAGTAAACTCTAGATTGTACTCATGTTTTAGGATAATCATTGGCTTGTACTTTTATTCAGTCCTTTTCTTGACTTGTTCAGGTTTTTTCCCACAGTGTAGTATGTTTTATTACAGATACACTTGCACCCAAGTGTTGAAATACAGGGACACAGGTGACTTTAAAATTTTAGTACTCTGCCTTCTTTCTGCCTCTCAGCCCCGCCCCTGGAACACAGGCTTTCCTTACTGCCTGCGGTCTGTTTGGTCCCCTGACTGGTGGAGTAGCTCACTAATCGCTATTTCCGCCCCTGCCCTTGTGCTTGTTTTAGCCTCAGATTTCCCCGTTTCCCGGGAGATACCTCTTCTTGAGGAACCTTTCCTTTTGGAGACTCAGTACTTTCAAAACTTCACTTCGTCTGTTCCAAACCAGCTCCATCTCCATGCTTTCTGTTTCCTTCATTTATTTTTTCCACATTGTTCCAAAAGTGTTTAAATCAGCCTGTAAAAATACAGGCAGCTGACTACTTGTTCACTAAACCAGTTCAGAGTCCCATTTTCTCCCAATACTGATGAAAAAAATAAAAAGCAGAGAGTTTTAACAGCCAAACAGAGACAGTAACATGTCTTAAGAATTTCAGTTGCTTGTGGCCAAGGAAAACCAAACAGGCTTGGAACTTCATCCCTCCCCCTGCCCTGTCCAGAACAAAAATCCTGAGACAGTACTCCTAGATTAGAAGGGAGCAGATTGAATAGGGTATCTTTTTATTTTTTCCTTTAATTTCATGTGCATTTTTATTAATGTTCAATTTAAGTAAAATTTGTTGCGGTCATTTTTATTTAAACAATTGCACACACAGGTGATATTTTCGGTGTCATCAATCAGTATTTTCTTTCGTGGAAAGATGTCTTCAGCAGCTTCCTTTAATGTTACATTTACCGTTGATGGTACTTTTGGACAGTAAGCGGGGGGTGAGAACGTTGGTGGTTCAGTGGTAGAAGTCTTACTTCCTGTCGCAGAGACCTGGGTTTCCTTCCTGGCCCGTGCAGCCACCACCCACCTGTCAGTAGAGGCTTGAAGGCTGCTGGGATGCTGAACAGGTTTTGGCAGAGCTTCCAGGCCGGACAGACCAGGACGAAGGGCCTGGTGATCTGCTTTGGAAAATCACAGTGGAAACCCTGCGGTTTTCCAGCAGTCCGAGCCCCTTATACATGGAGTTGCTATGATTCAGGGTCCAACTCCACTACAGCTGACAGCAGCAACAAGTTGGAGGGGATGTTAGGGGTCCTGTTACATGTTTCTTCACACTTATCTCCATTTATCGTGATGTTGCTTATTGATCCACTTGTGAGGGTTTCTGTTTTCTTTATGTTGAGGTGTAATCTGTACTGAAAACTCTAGTCTTTGATCTTCATCAGTAAGTGTGTTAGTTCTTTTTCACTTTCAGCAAGCAAGGTTATATCATCTGCATATCACAGATTGTCAACGAGCCTTCCTGCAATTCTGAGACCATGTTCTTCTTCATATAGTCCAGCTTCTCGAATTATTTGCTCAGTGCACAGATTGCATAAGTAATGATAAATGGAGGAAAGATTGAAGTTGTCATGATATTTCTTGGATCCACAATCCACAATCACAACTCATGGAAGCAACAGTTAAGAAATCAGATGTCATATTGCACTGGGCAAATCTGCTGCAAGAGACTTCTTTAAAGTGTTGAATAGCAAAGGTGACACTCTGAAGACTAAGGTGTGCCTAACGTATTTCCAGTCGTCTCACATGCATGTGAAAGCTGGATAATGAATAAGGAAGACTGAAGAAGAATTGATGCATTTGAATTGTGGTGGTGTGAAGAATACTGAAAATACATGGACTGCCAGAAGAATGAACAAACGAGTCTTTGAAGAAGTACAGCTGGAATGCTTGTTAAAAGCAAAATCTGGCCAGACTTCGGCTCACTTATGTTGTCAGAAGAGGACAGTCCCTGGGGAAGGATGACATGCTTGGTGAAGTAGAGGGTCACCGAAAAAGGGGAAGACCCTCGATGAAATGGATTGACACAGAGCACAGCGAATACTGTGCGGATGGAGCAAGACCATTTTGGTCTGTCGCACATGAGGTCAGTGTGAGTGAGAGCCAACTGGATGGCACCTAAAAACAGCGTTACAGTTTTCCATGTGATAAATATTGAGCACTTTCTAAAAGCAGTATACTCATTCCAAAATATGTATGGTAAGACTAAAAGAAGACCAAAATAGAGTCAGTGAAAAAAATCCAGGAGCAGGAAATAAAAAGGGAATTGCATGCCTGTCACCGGGGTCTGATTAAGTGTTTAAGGGACCAAAATGGTGGCTCTGATGCTGTCTGGTCCAGCGGTTTGAAAATTTACGGCTTGAGTGTTGCTATGATGTGGTGTGTCTTCAGCCAAATATGTGAAACAGACAAAAATGGACCTCTTCTGAACTGAAACAAGAGAGGGGTCCCCAAAACCACTGCCAGTCCTCCTCCTTCCCAGCCCCCACCCCCCACCCCTGCGTGCACACACCCACACTCAGCACTTGAAGAGGTTCCAGACTGAAAAGCACAGCGCACCATGAGTCTCAGAGCTGACCTAGGCAACCCCGGGAGGAGCTCGTCAGCTTTCCCAAACAGCTTGGCCTTCCTCGAAACTAGTACCATCACAGGTGGGGTATGGGAAGCACTGGTGGGGCTTCCTTTTGTCTGAAAATAAGAAACAAATTAAGCACTACTAATGCTGACATAAAGAGCTCTGGTAATGTAGTGGTTAAAACATTGGGCTGCTAGCCAAAGTGTTGGCGGTTCAAACCTACCATCTGCTCCGTGGGAGATGAGGCAGTCTGCCTCCGTAAAGACACTCAGCTTTGGAGACCCTACAGGGCAGTTCTGCTGTGTCCTGTAGGGTCACTGTGAGTTGGAACTGACTGTAGCAGTGGGCTTAATAGTAATGTAGAGATTGACACTGGTGCGGTCACTGAAGTGAGCTCACTCAGGATGCTGTGGGCGTGGCCACGTAGCACATTCGAGAGGCCTGAGGGAAAGCTGCACGCCCTTCCATGCAGTGGATGACGGCTTTGCTGTTGGTTTTTACTTTCAGCATCTTTTTTTTTTTATTAAACAGAGGTTGCAGATGCTCAACTAAATGAAGGTTACAGGTGCTCAACTAAATGAATTTATGGTCTGTTAACCTCATTTTAATTAAATTAATGCCTCCAAAGCAGGCACTGGCTTTAGATTCCCACAAAGAAACCATAAGAGAAAGATAATGTTGATAGAGCAGGAGTAAACAAGTAAGAAAATGGCTGAGCTGACACCTCCGTTACTAGGAAATAGCAGAAGCTCTTTGTCGTCCTCATCCTCACCATGAAGAATGAGGCTCTGATTATGTGTGATATAAAGTTGACCAAAAACTTCAAATGCTTAATTAAGAACACTGTTGGAAGCAAGGGAGCTCTGGTAGCATAGTGGCTAAGGCACTTGACTGCTAACCAGAAGGCTGGCGGTTCAAACCCACCAGCCACTCCTCGGAAGGAAGGTTGGGCAATCCTACTTCCATAGTGATACTGCCTCGGAAACCCAAGGAGGGGTCGCTATGAGTCAGGGCTGACTCGACGGCACATAACAACAACAACAATTGGAAGCAAGGATGTCCGTCTCTTCAGATCCTTGAAAGGCTTTGTAAAATCCTGATGACACCAACTGTTACCTTTGGGAAGGGGTCCAGTGGGAGCATTTCCCTTTGAATTTTGAACCAGGAGAATATATTTCTGTTCATGAAATAGTAAAGTTATAGACTTTTGGCATTTAATGCTGTAAACATCTTTGTGTAAGAGGAAACAACTGGAACATAAATGATGAGGATTTCATGCGTTGTGAAGAATGTAACCAGTGTCACTGAACGATTTGTGGAGAAATCGTTGAATGGGAACCTAAACTGCTGTGTCAGCCTCCACCAAAAACAGCAAAATAGCGTTTGAAAAGAAACAAAACATCTTTATTAAAAAAAAAACAGCTGCCACCGAGTCTGCTCCGACACGACCCACATGCTTCCAAGTGGCCCTCAGGTCTTCCCTGGCTTTTTTGGACATAGATCACCTCTGAGTAGACTTGAACCTCCAACTTCTGGGTGAGCAGTGACCTTACTAACCGTTCATACCACTCAGGACTTCAGGATGCGTGCTGAACCATTGACAGAGCTCTGCTCTCAGGAGCCCAACTGGATTCTCGTGGATGCCTTCCGCTGTGTCCCTCCTCCCCGCCACCACCCCACCTGTTGCCGTTTCCTGTCTGTTCTTCTTTTGGAGTTTCTCTGGAAGAGGCAAGACCAAGGTGAAGGAGGAGAATGGTTTCCATTTTGCAGGGGGAGAAAAACGTAGGCTTGCTACTTTATAGTTGAACCTTACCTTGTGATTTTCTGCCTTCAGAATTCTTATCTGTTTTTATAGTCTCGATAGCAGCAATAATAGTTCCTTTTGAGAAACATTTTCCAGTGAACAGTTTTAAAAGGCAACCAGAACATTGTTTCTGAAGTAGAAAGGGAAATGTGGGTGAGAGAAAATTGAGGCAGTGCTGAGTTTGAAAAGGAAGCTTGTGTCGTTCACCTTCTCTGTAGGAGGCGTGCTCTGGTGATCTGAGAGAGCTGGCAACAGCAAGCTGTAAGACAAGCAGCACTGCTTCCAAGACCAAGGATGAGAAAGGTGAGTCCTACATCTACTTAGCCACGTTTTTCTGAGAAGTCACTGAGTCAGCGTCTCTGACCACCTTTGCCTACAGCAAGCTCCACAGGCTGATGGGCGCCTTTGTTCTCTCTTCCAAGTACAGCACTCTGGTGCTTGGTACAGTGAGCCTTTGGGAGTTGCTTGTTGTTTGGTCCATTGCTACCCAAAGCATACTCCTTACCAGCCAGCCAAACTCAGGCTTGTGCATTTGGCTGGCGTGGGCGTGAAAGTGGAGGGTGTGTGCACGTGTGTCTGCGAGTGTGGGAGTCACCTTGGGGAACTGTCGGAGCTCTGCAGGCTGGCCTTGGTCCCCAGCACTGAAGTGACTGTCGCTTTTCTGCAGATGAATCCAGCAGCAGTGAAGCTACTGGTGAAAAGACGGAGCCGAATGACGACGACACCCTGAAATCTCGGGAGGCAAGACATCGTTTCCTACTGATTTGTTCAGAGTCATTGAGAGTGAAAAGCAAACCCAGTGCCTTAAATACCACAAGTGTTGCTTAGTCTTTTTGGTGGCGCTCCTGTTTCTAGTGTAGTGGGGCACTGTTTGACACGCTGCATTTTATCAATGCCGTTATGATTAATTTTGTTCTCTTCCTCCTCGTTGCATCCAAACATTTGTATGAGACCTACTTATGTCTCGGCCAGAGAGGATCCGCCCAAAGCCCTCTCGGTGGCAGCGCTGGGTTCCTGCCCTTACAGTGTAGCGCTGCCGTGCCAGGCTCCAGAACGGGAGGGCTGACGGGCAGAATGGGAGCAGAAGCAGGGGGTGCAGAAAGCAACCCGGGCTTCCTGATGGGCCCAGGGTCACAAGGCAAGGCTCCTGGGAGGCTACAGGGGCGGGCTGCACACCAACCCTGCCTGCTCCTGCCCATTCAGATAAGCAGGGAACCCAGTGGGGCAGAGAATCGCAGCGGCCTGAGGCACAGCCCCATTGATCAAGGGAAATGACCACGACCTCATGCCAGCCAGATCTCCGTGAGCTGTCGTGGAGTTTGCCAGCTTTTCAAGGGCATAGAAAACTTTTTGTTTTCTCATGCTTCTGTATGAAAAGTCAGTCGACTTCCTTTCATCTTATGAGAGAAAACTGTTATCACAATTAGCTTGGGTGAAATCTGACTTTGACTGGAAGCCTGTGTGTATGACAGAAGTAAACGCCCCTTGCTGAGGGCTGACTTGTGTCGTCTCATTATCCCACAGTCCTCAGGACTCCATGATCTCATGCCACTGTTCACACCACCAATCAGGTGAAGGAACTACCCTGAGAGAAGTGAAACAGCCCAGGGTCACACTGGTTTAAAGTGAGGCTTGGATTTGAGCCCCTAAGAGGGGACTCTAGGTTCCTGGGTGGTGCAAATGGTTTGCACACTTCTACTAATCTGAAGGCTGGTGGGTCTAACCTCCCAGCAGTGCCGTGGAAGAAAAGTCCTGGCTATCTGCTTCCAGTAAGCCAGCCAAGTAGGATTGGTGCACGGTCAAGAACCCCCCTGGACCGCAGGTCTGCTCTGCACACATGGCCGGCCATGCATCAGCGTCAGCGCAGTGGGCGCTAGTGACGAGGGGGGGCCTCTGCATCTCATTTTGAGAAAATAAACTCTGTGTCATAAAAAAACAAACCCACTGCCAATGAGTCGATTCTGACTTGTAGCAGCCCCCATTAGATTTCCAAGGGAGTAAATCTTCACAGAAATAGATTGCCCCACCTTGCTTACTTGGAATGGCTGGTGGATTTGAACCACCAACCTTCTGGTGAGCAGTCAGGTGCCTTAGGCACTGTGCTACCAGAGTATAGAGAATAAAAATGGTTGTTGCTGTTTGTTTAGTCTGATTGTTTTGTCTTTTTTTTCCCTTTCAGGACAATCAGCCTGTAATTATTAAAAGGAGGAGAGGAAGACCTCGTAAACACCCCATAGAAGCCGTGTTGAAAGCGAGTAGGTATTTGCTGTGTTTGCAGGTCACACACAAGAAGTTTCCAAGCTGATTCTCTAAGTGAGATTCCTTTTGTTTTTCAGAAGAGGACTCCAGAGGAGACACTGGCCTTGTCACTGTAAGTAACAGTCAAAGAGAAACACTGCACATACCTGCTTTGGAGCTGGAAAGTCCATACTGCAATCTCTAGTATATTGAACTGTGTCGTTTTCTCAGAGTATTTGAAAAGCTTTAATCCTGAAATAAAACCTTGAGTCATTACTCAAATCATACGCTGCTTAGTAATGTCTCCATTCAGCTAGTTCCATGAGGTACTTGTCCTCTAAGCTGATGGTGACCTCACTCCTGAGTTTGGTTACATAGAAATTATGTAGGTTTATAGCTTCTTGGGGTCGCTCTTGTTTCAAGTGCAGAAATGTGTTGTTTTCTGTGAGTTTTAGATTGTGATCTCTTTCTGGAGATCTCTAATGTATCTCCATCTTACCACATTTTTACAAAAAAATTATTTTTTTAATGAAGTGTATGCTGATTTTACTAAAGGAAAACCTTCACTAGTATTTTATCTTTTTTAATAATTTTTATATTGGACTTGAAGTACAAATCCAGTGAAATCACCGTATGAAGATTTTATTGTGTGAATTTTAATGGCAGCATTATAATGAGGATAAACGTATGTCCACTGACCTCCCAAAGCACACGGGATTCAGGCCTCAGCTCTGCCACTCGCTCCCAGATCTGTGGCCCCGGGCAGGCACGGGATGCTCTGAAGCCTCCATTTCCTTGGCTGTAGGGTGATTGTGCAGTTACAGTATTGTTGCGAACAGGTGCGAATGCATCTGCAGTTTATGAAACGTTTGCTGGGGCGGGGAACAGCACAGTGGCCGTGTTGCATCACTCCTGTGCTTGCCTCCTGGCACGGCAGCAGGGTCACTGGGAAGAACCTCGTTTGCAGCCCTGATTCTCACTGTGGACAGGCTGTGTGTTCAGAAGCGTGGGATCCGTGTTTGCTTGGTTGATTGAATCAGCTTCAGAAAAGGGTAGAGCTACGTGATAAGTTGGTGGAGGTGGTGGTTGCCTTCGAGTCTAACCCATGGCAACCCCGCGTACACAGAGCAGAAGGCTCCCTAGTGCCTTAAAGGCTGAGACCTTTCGGGACAGTCTGCCAGGGCTGTCTTCCGCGGCAACTCTGGGTGTGTTCACACCACCAGCCTTTCAGCTGGTGCTCCAACACTTAACCGTTTGTCCCACCCACACACTCCACACGTAATAAATGGTGCCTAAACTTTCCTTCCATTGTTGGCTACTTTTCTATGTGATGTTGATAAACTGCCGATTTCAGATTTTGTTTGTTTGTTTGTATTTAGGTAGAACAACCTCCAGCTAACAGTAAAGTCAAAGTAATGCAAACAGGTATGTACGTACAGCAGTCATCTGTGTCTGAGGGCGGCGGGCTGTTGGAGAAGGTGTTAGACTTTCCTTCTGTTTCTCATGGAAACACAAAGCATCCTCAGTTTTCATCCTTATAGCCACGAAAAACTCTCCGTTAGGGCTTTTCTTACAGCCCGAGCCATCCTTGGTGTAAGAAGGACTGTGTTTAAAACACAGCCTCTTCTACGTGCACAAACTAACTCCGAAGGAGCACGAGCCCTGGAAAGTGTGGAAACCTCAGGAGAGGAGAGCTGGGTGACTGACGTGTGAGGCTGGGGGGAAATCTTAGCTTTCACTGAATACTCTTCTGGACCTTTTAATTCTTACAGTGAGATTTATTATTGATTCCAGAAACTTTAATAAAATTTAAGTTGTGAAATAAAAATAAAAAACTTCTGCTGTCTTTAAGGCGATTACAGCCTCATTCAGGAGGAAGGATGTATAGGAAAATAGTAAGAGGTAATGCTGTAAACGCCAAGTGAGTAGCAAGTGACAGAGATATAGAGGGACACAGAAGTTCTGATGAGGAAACTCTAAAGCCTGGGCAGCCTTCATGGGGGACAGTGAAGGCATTCCATCCTAGGAAGTAGCCGATTCTGTCATGCCTGCACCATGAGATACTGGAACGTTAAAGGAAGAAATGGATCCCCCTGGGCAGTGAG